CAAGTCTCTAGTACTTGAAATGCGTTTTTTACAAATTGGGGGAGAAGGGGGCGTGGTATCCAAAATCTGTAAATTACAAAATCTTTGTATCGATTAACTTTATATACAACGCAAATTTGAAGACTCCAGGTCTAAAAATGTTCAAATTAGGCTAAAAAAACAAAATCAATTTTTCGATTATTCTCGATAAAAAAGTTATCGGACGATTTATCGAAAAAATAAAGCAAACTCGTACTGCGTATGGTACACACGAGTATGCATGCCAAATTTCAGCTCTCTAGCTCTTATAACTTCTGAGATCGACGCACTCATACGGACGGACGGACGGACGGACGGACGGACGGACGGACGGACGGACGGACGGACAGACGGACAGGGCTATATCGACTCAGCTCGTCACGCTGATCAAGAATATATATACTTTGTGGGGTCTGCCACGCCTCCTTCTGCCCGTTACATACTTTTTCACAAAACCATTATACCCTGATTTCCCATTTTCAATGGGTTCAGGGTATAAAAAAGCTCTCTTGTTTTATTGAAAGCTAAAACTGATATGGAAAACCCCAAATCATTCTATCGTTCGCAAAGCTAAGCGAGTATATACGATAGATGTTGAAATAAGTGGAGCTGTACTCGGACCATGTATTGGCAAACGAGTATTGTGAAGGCGGGTCAATTTTCCCGATGACAAGGTTCTTGCTTATTTTTTGCACCAGATATGCTAGTTCGATTTAGATACGTTGCCGAGCTGACATACGCAGAGTTTTTGTGTTTGGACAGCAATGAGTCGGAAATCAAAGGGTTTCCCGCCAATTGAACAAAGTTGCTTCTTCGTCGATTTAAGTGACAGCCGTCTTCCGAACATGATAGAAAGCTGTGCACACAACCAAATGAATTTCAGCATGACAGTAATCAACAAAATTAAACAATTTTCGCTCCCATCAAGGGAGCACGGAAGGGAGGACTGTCTTGCACATGTCAGTGAATTGAAGGAAAGTGCTTTGAGTATTATACAGATAAACTGTAATTAAATAAAGGGAATAAGATATTTTGCAGTTCATTGAAAATATTTGGACTCGAGAGCGACGGACACAGCTGATTGACAAGGGTAACAAAGTACACAACGTATCCACACTATTCCGCTTGCCAATGCCCCACTTGCTTTCTCCATTGACAACGTATACCATGTGGCATGCATGCTTAGCTGCCAGCAAGCAGAGCGCTGTTTAGCCTAACATGTGGTTGGGGAGCTCCCTGGTTGGGTGGAAGAGTGGATGGGTGGATGGGTTGTTGTATACCGTTATATATTTTGTCACAAATGAAATAGCCGTAAGACCAAAGACTGACGGTTGACGACTTAGTGACCAACTCAACGATCAAAAGAATAACCGAGTTGTGGTTAATCAAATAAACAAATCCATTTATCCATAATATTCTGTGATGTCGAAGCTATTTACTTGTGAGAGAATGATAAGAGCCACTCAAGCGTAATATATAGTGTGTGTGAATATAAAATCTTGTTGCCAGAAATATAGTGTCCGCTCAAATAAAAAACAGAAATTTACTGAATATGCACCAGCACAGAAAAAAGCTAAAGCAAGTGAGAAGGTTCAGTCGATGTCAGCCGACTGCATGATACTCTACATATTTCCATTTTGTGATTCAGCAATAGGCGTATTTCAATCGTTCATGTAAGTCTCTCGTTTGGCAACAACCGAACTTAACAGTGGAACTTCATATATCAGCCGCAACACACACAAAAACGAAATAAACATAAAATTATATTAATTTCAGTAGATCAATTATTTCCAACATTTTTACATGAAATCGAATTAATTACATCTATGCATCCAGCCGAAAAACTTCAATTTTTAAGCAGAATATGAAACATTTGTTTTGATTTGCTTATTTAAATATATGAAATGAATCTAATTTCAAAAGTTCTTAAGTTATAGGGAGTCTGTGAACATAAATCAATACTTCGAATCAATACGCTTGCTACCGAAAAAAAAACCGTGTTAGATCTATGCAACGTTCAGTATGATTCGGAAAACATATTAGCTTCTACAATTAATAATGTTTAGCAATTCCTAAAAAGTAAGAAATAAAACTAGTCCGAAGCAAGGCGAATTTAAGTGTCATTCGATCAACTTGAATTTTTTTAAGCAATTATAAGGACGTGTTTGAACTTCAATTAACTGCGGCGAAGCTGTTGTACGCAAAGACACAAAGGGAACAGAAGCGAAATGAAAGGAAGCAAATTGAAAAGCCAGCAACACTTGTGAAATAAACATGGACATACACATGCACCTGCACCTACACCTGCATACACCTGCCAATGTCTGAAAACATTGATGACGCTCAATCACTGAATGACTGACTTGCAGCCTGTTAAACCGAGAAAACGGCTTCCAGTTAAATATATATCGCACCAGCGCCGATTTGAGTTGCAAACAATAGCGCTAACTGGCAGGCAGACGGCTACCCAGCGAAGAGTCGATGAATGCCGCAAAGTCCCCTAGCTTCTTGCAGCTGTATGCAACACCTCTGGCAAATACAAATATATTAGAAGAAAACACCACTTTATTTGTATGGTTTAAGAGTTGACATGACAACAGTTTATGCTTTCTTTACAATGCAAATGAATCAACCATTTTCTAGCGTCATAATTTTCAGACATAAGAATAAAGCTAATGAGGGTATCCGGAGTGCGTGATGAGTCCTTCTTCGTCGGTTGTTCTGTCATTGTGTGTTGTTTGATTTTTGTCCTTTTGTCTTATTGAGTAGTAGTTGGTCTGCGCATTTTTCAATTTATATAAACAAAACATTTTAATT